ATTGATAGTTATCGGTTTGTATGAACTCTTTGGGGAAAAGAGAAAGAGAAAGATGAAATTAATAAAGTTAAAATAATAGTATTCAAGTTGTATTTTTACTTTATATCTGCTATTTTAATTAATTATCTCATGGTCATCATGATAGAATTATTTACCTTGGTTCAGTCCCTATATTCATATTCTATCGTCGAAAATACTAGGATTAACATCCTCAACTCTAATAGACGTTAATGAAATAAGGCTCTGATATGAAGACTATTAGCTTCCAGGGGGCTTTGAATTAAATTCTTGTTTTTGTTTATAATCTACAATTAACACAAAAAATGCATGACAATGTTAACTTTTTTATTTAATATTAGAGAATCAGTCAAAAATTGATGTTTACAGAATACCAGTGCCTTTTAAAAAGCAATAATGTTAGGTCCATAAATCTTTTACAACATTCTCCATAACCCTCGATTGTGACAATCTGTCATTGTTCAATGTTTTAAACCCAGCCCGGCTCGGCAGTTGAACCGTTCAATCGAGACCCGGAAGTTCAAACAGGCCGGGTTTATATTTTATCTATTCACCCAAAACCTGGATTTGGGAGGAATGATCGGACAACAATGACAGTCGGAATGTTGGGGGTTTTTGAAGATAAAGTTCCTGATGAATGCAATGGTGGTGACAAAGTTGATTTCGATGAGAGAAATCGACCAGAAATTGAACAAAACTAGGCGATAAGCCACAATGGAGATTTTGACAATGCGAGGCTAACGCGGGGGGGGGAGATGGGTTTTTAAGGGCGCGATGACGGTTGCACTCTGGTGTGTCGCCGCCGCAATCAATTGCCGGTCGATTTGGCATTTATGGTATGTTTGATAAATTTCAAACCTATAGGGACTTATTGTTATTTTCAGGGGTATATTTGCTTAATTTTAAAGTTTTTTGTCAACCAGTGAACCTGGGACGCCGAAACTTTGTTGGGTTTCAACCCCGGTTGGGTTTAAAATATGGCATTGGTAGCTCACACAATGGACAGGAGGGACCTATTGCAAGGTGACCAATGACATGCTTTCAAGTCGAGGGTGTAGATTGAGTGATATTAACATCACTCTTTAAAAAGACAAAAAAAAATACAATTTTTTTTTAATATTACATCACTCCTTAATAGACACCAAAAAATAAATAATATAATATTAAACAACTTTTTTCACAAACTTTCTTCATAATATTAATATGAGCTTCACAATTAGTCAACTTGCAATTAATTAAAGAGACCATGTGAGATCCGTTGTGAACTAACCAATTGCGAGTTGCCATATCAAGGTTGTAGAGAAAAAGTTGTGAGAAGGGGTGTTGGTGTAGTATTATTCAAAAAATAATAATAGGTTTTTTTTAATTTTTTATATCATTCATCACTTTTTAACAAGACCCAAAAAAAATTATAGGTTTTTTTTTTTTTTTTTTATATATATTAGGTTGATCGTATGGTTAATATATAGTCCACATTAGTCAAACAAGCCTTCATGAAATTTAGGGAGCTATCAAAAGTGTTGCACAGTATCCTAATGGTCTTCCATTAGCTCTTCAAGTTTGGGCCCTTGTTTTTTTCCCGGAGGAAGAAAAGTTCATATACGGTGCATTGAAAGACTAGAAACGTTGTGATAAGATTATTGGATAGACTTTAAATATTGGATGGGCAAGAAGAATTAGAGAAAAAATATTCTTGTAAAATGTTTCTTTAAAGAGAAAATAGAAATTATGTACAAGGGGTCCTTTTGTTTTATATTTTGGATAGGATTTTAAAATAATATGGTAGTTGAATAGGAGAGTTTACAAGGTAAAATTTAAAAAATTTATAAAAAAAACCCCATAGGTTGGTAATTTAACTAAATACCCTAAATATGAATTTTATAAAATGAAAAAATACCACCAACTCGTAGTGCAGAGTCCAACCACCACGCCAAATCTGGGCGAAAAAAATTGCGTTACGATACAGACTGGTAAGATCTGGCGGGTAGGGCGTCGATATAGACTTTTCTGCAAGATCCACAGGATCTGGCTGGAAAAAGCCAGATCTTACGACCAGATCTAGCCCGACAGTCGCAAAAGTAGGCCGTCAACTACGGCAAAACATATAGGCCATCGCTGACGGCAGATCAATGATTACCGGCAGTTTTGTTTGGTGTAAGCCGTTGTGACAGATTCCAGACTACCACTAACGGTGGTTGTCGAAATCTTCAAGTATGGGTTTAGGGGGTTGTTTGTTAATTTTTAAACTTTTTGGAGGGTATTTATGAATAAAACTTAAGGGGACTTAAAGAATTAAAAGATATACTAATATTTCAAGTAATGGGCCAAACAATATCGGGAATAGAGTGGGAATATGGGTAGAAATAATGTGCCAAACGCACCCAAGAATTCTTGAAAATAGTTTTTTTTTTTCCAATAGGATAAATATTCTATTGACAAATCAATGTAATATTTTATTGATGACGATAAATTGTGGGTACATGATTTATTACAACACCAATTTTGTAAGGAATAAGATACATTAAGTTGAGTAATATAGTTCAATTTAACCATACTAGGTGGTCCAACGTCAACTAGGACTCTTGAGGTAATTGAAGAGGTCCTAAATTCGATCACCTGAATTGTTAATAGAGAAACCACTGAAGAGATATCTGACTATAAGTTTAAGACTTAGGGGGATTAGTTGAGATGTACAAATTTGAAGCTCTCAAATTCCTTTATTTGACATGTGGAATATTATTAGACAAGGAGCACATGTTTTAGGGCATCAAAAGTCTTGGCATAATAAATGGTATTAGCAAGAGCATCATGTAATTGGGGATCCAAAAGGTCCATCCAAAACTTGATTATTTAGTAAACGGACCATTACATTGACATGCAAAAGCTTGAAACGTGTAATCCTTTCACATTCACCAGAAAACAGGTTTGCCCAAACTCAGGTTTGCACTCTCTTCTTTTCCCACCAAAGCTGCCAGAGAAATTTCTCTTCCCAGTTGGAGATTCGGGTCTAGCTTTTAGGTTTATTCTTTAGCTCCCAGAGTTTTCATCGCCTGATCTAGAGACCAACGCCCGTTGTTGCTAAAACAGATGTGGCACAAGCAACACCCCTGATAATTTTACTATGATGTTTCAGAGTATGAAGATCAGAATCTGAGTCTGAAAAAGGTAACTATTTTGGCTTCTAAGAATTGGGTTTGTTTTAATTTCAATATAGCGTGCATGATAACAATTAATGAGCTGCTCTTTGTTGATGTTTCAATGTTCAGAGCCGGATGATGAGAATGATACGCTCAAAAAGGTAATGAATTAATCAAATTTGGTTTGTTGGGATTGGGTTTTTTTATACTTTTACATTTTTATGTTCTACTTTTTGTAGTATTGCATGCTCCATTGTAACTCAGCTGGGAGTGTACTACTATTATGAATCTCCAAACAATAATTATTCGTGATTGTAATTCTGATAATTGTGATGGGTTCATGATTATTTGTTTTCTGTTTTAACAGTGATACTATGAGGTTGGTAATTGGCAAATTTTTGTGATATGGCATTTTGATTGATCCATTGCATTTATTCTTCTTAGTGGCTCTTCTGTGGTACTAGAATCTATATTTTTGTTTAGTCTCTGAGACTTATAAGGTGTTTGAGTTTTGTGATTGATTGAAGTGATTGGTGGTTGTTACCAGATAGCGGAGAAGAAAAGTGTGATTTTCACTGGGGATTGGAAGGTCACTCTCATGCATTTAATTTAATTTTAATTGCTATGTGGAGGTTTAGTAAAGTACAATATTATATGCTTATGAATTACAGATTATGCATGCCAGATTTAACTTTAAATTTGTAATTTATAGTGGAAAATACATATTATTATGCTAGAAGTAAAAGTTTGAAATTCATATGAAAATATGGGTTATGACATTCAGTAACTGGAATGAAGATAGATGCGTAATTTTGGTACAAGTCCTGTTATTACTCACTGTTTACGGTACTGTATATATTAGGTCTTATTTTTATTTTATTTAGGATGTTTGCTGTGCTATGTAGGGAGGATTGATAGGATTAGCTGTCGCCACGGTTGGTTGACTTCTGAAGCAGCTTATCATCTTGAGGTGAGCTGTATATTTATTTATATTTAATGTGTGATGTTCATTAATCAAATTAGATTTTTATTTGTGGATTGTTAAACTTTGGAATTATAGGTAATTATAAGTTTGAATTAGGGTAATCTATTCGCTTTTTATTTGTACAGTGTCAAATCATCTTCTGAAATTTTGAATCTCTAAGTAGCTGAATAAATTTCTTATACCATTTTGATGACTCATTTATTTATCACTTAATGACGTTCCAATGTGACAGTGCAGCTTTAGGATTTCTTTTGAGCAATCTCCAAAGAAGGCCAAGCAAGACCATGACAATGGCAAGACTAATGGAAAAGCTGGAGAATCTGATGTTATAGATGGGAGTTTGAAGAATTCTTAAAGCTATTGAGGCTAATCTCTCATTGAACAAATGGTGAGATTCTGAAGCCAATGACCAAGAATCCTGTGGCCAGATTCTGTGTTGTCACTAAATGGTGAGTTCAATTAGAACATCCACTAATTTACATATTTTCATCTATATATAAACCATGTATGTGGGTTGAGATCTTATCATTTTAAGAATGTTTTTTATTTATTGAAACAGCCAAGATGCTGTTTATGGATCGTTAGGGAGATGCCCAATCGCAATAGTAAATTGGAATTTGATGGTAAAAGATATACTTGCAAAGGAATGTACAGTGAGTGGTCTACATGCACATTCAGAACAAAAGATCCACCGAGGAGGGAGAAGCCAGTCAAAAATACCAGTTCGTCCTCAAATCTGTTGATTTAGAGTATATTTCTGGACCATACATTCTTGCTCTTTACAATAAGACTTGACTGTTTGTCTAATGTCTTATTCTGTGTATTTATTTGAGTTCTATTTCTCTCTGCAATAGTTGATTTAGAGTATCAAATGACTCGAAAATGGATGAAAAGCTTGGTTTTGAAGAAGATAAGCAGTGATAACCACAACCAGAACAACACCAACAACGTTGAGAACAACAATGCAACTATGGTATTTTTTTATTGTTTAAATTCTTATTGTTAGTCTCGCTGGTGGATATATAACAGAATAAAGTGTAAAGATTAAACTGGTTGTTCATATTAATGTGTTCAGGATAGTTGTGGGGAAGATTGTGTTGAAGCTGTGATGGTGGAGAAGGCTGGGGAGTGTTTAAGCTGTGAGTTTGGTTAACTGTGCTAATTAATCTACTTTATTGGGGACTAACTGTACCTTGTTTGCTGTATTGGTGCTTCAAGTGTTTGTATTGTTGCTATGAATTGCTGCCTAATGTTTAGACTCCATGTCCATAAGACGCTAGTGCTGTTTAACTTCTTGGCTTCTTTCGATTTTTTTGTTCTATACACATATTTGTGTTTGCGCATCACATACTAGTGTCTTCTTCCTTTCTAATCTTTAAGAATTATGTTTTGAAATTAGTGCCGTTTCATTCTGATTAAGGGTTTTATTTATTGAAACTCTGAAAAATTTGCCCTGATTTTAAGGTGTATGACCAATCCCAGGTATGTTGTGGGGAGAAACTAAGTTGGAAGCTTCAAGAGGGTCGTCTCTTAGGATTCAAGTATGGATGTGTTGGTTACTCAGTATACCTGGACAATAAAGATCATCAACTGATAAGATGGATAAGAAGCAGAATTGCCCTTCTGTGTGGGCTTGAGGTGATGTTTATGACTCTTTTTTTATTGTTTCCTACTCTTTAGCATTTTGTTGTGAATTCTAAGGATCCTGTGACAATATTTCTCACTCATTTTTAATAATGTCAATGTTATTGTGGTTGCAGAGTGGTTTTTTGGTGTGCTACAGGCTACATTTGAAGAACATCTGAAGAGGCTTAATAATTGATGCATTTTTAAATGAATCGCTTTCATGTTTAATCTTCTTTTATAATTCATGATTACTAAGATATGAGACTCCCTTTTGTCACAGTTAATATATTTCTTTTATTTATTTACTTTGGTTAGTAGCTGTTATTTTCATAAAAGGCATAATATTGTTACAAAAGTATATCTTTAGTAATTCATGATTACTAAGATATGAGACTCCAATTTTGTACAGTAATATATTCCTGAGTTCATTGTTGTGTTAGTTCGTTACTTCTAGAATTGGAGATATATCATTGCAAAAGGCAAATATTTGTTACAAGTATGAGGTATATTAGAAAAGAATAATGGTTTGCTATCAGCTGCCATTGTTTAGACTTCAATGGAGATTTGGGAATTTGGTTAGTTTAGCAGTAAAGTTCAATATATAGTTTGGTTAGAATAAGAACAGAAATCAAATGATAATGTTGTTAATCATCAAGGTGCACGATGCGGACTATAGTCCTAGTTTTGGTCATAAAGGTGTTAGTGTTGCGGCTATAATCTGTTCCATAGTACTTATGCCTCAGCAAACTCCCAATTTCAATACTTTAATCTACCTCTCTTCACCTCTTGTAGCTCAGCATGTGAATTTTTCCTAATATTCTCAGCACTTTCAGTCTAATCAGTTTTCAGGAGGAAGAGATTATGGTAGAGGCTAATAGAAACAAGCCTATTACCATGTGGTAAGTCAAGCCATACGCAGTTCTTCTCAACCAATATGGTTTTTAAGCATGCAATGTTCACCAGCTATGATTTCAAACAAGTTTCTCCAGCTCAAGGTTATAATTCCTCAATTCAAGCCTCTTTGTCTACTACAATGTTTCTAAAATATGCAACAACTACTCCAGCTACATCAGAGAACAGTTTGGTACATCAAGGATAAATTTTGTTTGAATTCCTTGCTGATCATTATATGATCAAGGACAAAGTCCCAAGATAGTGTTTTACAATGGAGATTAAAGTTGTTTTCAATACAGCTCCATGTATGTCATCTGCACTTAATGTGTCTATCAGTAAACTATGTTTTTATCCTCAAGCTTTGTGTACTGACAAGTTAAAAGCAATGTATGACATAAGAGACTTGGACTCCAATGAACAAGTTTTGAGCACTGTGTTTGCACAATTAAATGATAATAAACCTTGTTAGTCTTTGCGATTTTGCTTAGATGTCAATTTGGTAGATTGCCAATTATTTCTCCTATTCTTCTAGTGGAGCTTCAAGCCTCTTGAACTAATTCATTCAAGCTTTGAGGCCCTTCTCCACAATTGAAGTTGTGCATGAATAGTCTGTTAATTGGAGTTGTGACCAGTAACTTCAATTGAAGTTGTTGCTGTTAGGATACTGAGGTGAAGTTCTTGAAGTTGTTGCTGTTAGGATACTGAAGTGAAGTTATTTTTTTTTTTTAGTTTGTGTAGTAGTTGAAATGAGTTTGTGGTTAGCAGCTGAGATTAAAATTGAAGTGAAAGTTGTTGATAATTTGCTATGTTGATGTTGGCATATTGAAGCTGACTTGAGCTGTTGATAAACTGAAGCTGGTACTGTTTGGTTTACTGAAGTGAAGTTCCTTTCATTGAGTTTTGTGTAGTAGATAAGGGGAGCTGTTGATAACTGAAGCGTATGCTGTTACTGAGTGAAGTTCTACTGGTTGTGTAGTAGTGAGATTAACGTTCAGATGAACACTGAGGTTATGAGATGTGATCTGAATGCAGTGAAGTTGAGATCTACTGCAATATGATCTGAAGTGTAGTGAAGTTGGTGTTTCAATTCATTTTACTGCAGAGTGTGGGATTTTTTTATTGCCGAGTCAAAAGTCAAAAGTTAGCTTGAGGAGGGATGTGACTGTGAAAGACAAATGCTGGAAGCTGAAAGAAGTAAAATGTCACACTATTCTTCACTTATTAAATTGATACTTTATACGCGTCGTTTTTTACTAGTTGTTTTAAGTCGTTAGCCCAGTCAACTGGTCTCTTACTTAGTCTTCAACTTACTCTACTGTACACATATAAAACATTGGTGAAGTGCCCAGCTGTAATCAATCAAGGAATCAAAGAAATAGCTTTGCAATATTCTTGAATTCTCTTTCATTTTTTCGATTGTTCCAAAACCTCACAGATTGCAAATCTATTTCAAGTGGAGTTCCAGCCTCTTGAACTAATTCATTCTAAACTTGAGGCCCTCTCCACAAGTCCATTGAATGTTAAATAATACATACATACTAGAGACATGCTCTAATGAGCTAAAACAAAGTTTGTTTCTTCAATTTTAAGTAGTAGAAGACAATTTGAAACCAAATTGAAATGCCTTTAAACTGATTGCGTGGGGAGTTTAAAACACTTTTACCTTACATAAACGAGTAGACATTATATTTAGGCACCTTGCCACATACTCAACAAAAATGGGAACTGAGAGAAATCATAGGCATATTGTAAAATAGGGTCTAACAAGCTTCCTCATTAGTTACTGGAATTCAGATTTTCAAACTGATGTATTTTATAAGTAGGTTTCCTTTTTTTTGTAAACCATATATTGCCTTTTCAAAAACACTTGTGAAAAAACATTGGTTGCACTTGTTACCCTTTCCCTAGGCTTATAGTGCACACAAATTAATTTTCATATTTCTAAATGTGTATTTGAGGTTATAATCTTGTTCATAAGGTTAAAGGGCTTAAATGCAAATGGAAAGTATATATCGCAAAGTGTTAAGTCTGTGAGTCTATTTTCCTTTTATCATAATATTCTATCTCACAATTCTCCTCAAGTATATAGTTTTAAGTTGAAATATCTCAATACCTCTTCTACTTGGTTTTCCTCATTGTTAATAGTTTTGATTTAAAGTTTACAGTCTAATAGTCTTCTAAAATTGTACTGATTTTTTCTTCAAGCCAGGATAAAAACTACTGTTCTATGACACACAAAATCACACCGTCCTCTTCTCCTTTCTCATACAATTTCTAAAAATATTTTCTCTCCTTAAAGTCCAAGTTTGATTCTTTATCTCCTAATCTGTCTCCTCCAAGATTCATTTTCCACTATCAACTTAGAGTTTACTTAACTTCTATCCTATTCACACTAATTGCCTTGAAAAACAGAAAAGAAAAAAAAAAACAATGATCGATCCCATTAAAATTCCTTCTAGTCTCAACACTGTAGCTTTTAAAATTAGTCTTTACATCTTGAAAGTCTGAGAAGTCTCAATCCCACATGGTAGTGCTATGTTGTATCTTCTAGTTCTCTTTTTTCCAGTACAAGAACTAGTACTTTTTACGAGCCTCTTCATCCCTAGCTTGGAAATATGCTATCCAAGCGTGAGTTTAATGCATTAATCTACAATAAAACTTAGTGCAATGAGTTGTAGAAAACAGAAAAGTAATGGCTCTATCATCTAGGAAAATATAGAGCTTTGGCTCAGTCAGCAACAAATTAACTTGGTTCAAGAGTTTGTTTAAGAATTAAAAGTTGAATTCAATTTATGAGCATCTTTTGAAGGAGAAAATTTAGGAGGAGGAATATTGATGAACCTTATTGGGATATTAGATCCGCAAGTGATTTATGAGCACTTTTGTTGATTGTAAAGCCTTTGAGGAATTTGAAAGGATAACAGAAAACCAAAGCTTAAACTGCCAACAAAACAAACTCATCCATCCATGGCCTCCTCTGTTCTCTTCTGCCATCGCCACCACCACCGCCCACCACTTTTCTCCCAGCCCTTTCCTTTCACTGCCCCTGCCTCTTCAAAGTGAAGCGCAAAATGTGTGACATTTTACAAAACCATTGGTGGCAACTGGCAGGACAGTTTGAGTTTTTAAGAAGTAAACTATTGTTATACCATCCCCAGTATTTGAAAGGGCAAGTAATTATTGAAGGTAAAGAAGAAGTTACAGCAGTAGTAGAAGTGAGTATAGAGAATTGAAGCAGGAGTAAAATGAAGCAGTAGATATTGAAAAGATGTAGCAGCAGAACAGAAGTACTGAAGAGGTGAAGTACAAATTTTAAATTACTGTTTTGCTTCCTTCAAACAGATAGATCTTCATTGGATTCAGTGGAGCCAACTGAAAAACCATCAAAAGAAATATATAATCACAAGTACATTTATGTTGGAGCGTCTTCAAACAAATTCAATGTGTAGAATAATAAATCAATTACTTGATTAGAAATGATGAGGATGTTTCTAAGTTCAGTGTTCTTTCTCATTCTGTTGGATCAATATTGGAATAAAGCTCTCATTTTTTATGTACGGAGGTAATCTTCGAAAATTTGACAACAATAGTATATGTAGAAGTCTCTTCATCACTTCTACATATTATTATTGAAATACATAAACCTACAGACATTTGAAAATGTTCATTCAATTTGTTCTGCAGTACTAGATTGATATGTTTTCACATTTTGAGTCAAGAGGGCTGTTTCAAAGGTCACAAATCAAAACATATAAATTTAGTCCAGGCTAAGCAGCTATATGTACAATGCAAACCCAATACTATAACAGTAAAGGAATTTCCATACAAAAACAGGGTCAATTAAGAAGAACAACCTGATTCAGTTATTGCAGATTTGCAGCCGTATGTGTCCCACTGGTTGCAATGTGCCGTATTTCCGTTCCAAGAACCTTCCACCAATCTAGGAAACAACTCTCTATGATAGACAGAATGTCCAAGTGCACCAAAACCACCATAACCCT